CCCACCAGCCGGTACGCTCCCATAGAGAGGGGCTCCTCCGGGTGCCGTCGGCCAAACAATGCCGACTGGTGGCCCCCAGGGGAAGAGCCTTCTCTGTGGGGGCACCTACTATCTGGAACGAGCTCCCCCCAGAGATACAGAGGATCCCGGATCTGCGCACCTTCCGCCGCACCTTAAAGACCTTTTTATTTCACCAGGTGGGCCTGGCCTAATTTTCTCCCTCTTTTATAAAAGATTTTTAATTTCTTAATTTTTTAGTATTTTATATATTCAAATTTTAAAATAGGTTTTAAATTGATTGGGGTTTTAATTTGTCTGGGCCAAAACTATTTAATTTGATTTTAATTCCACTTTTAAATTTTGTATGTATGTATTTTATTGTTTGGCTGTGCACCGCCTTGAGTCCTTCGGGAGTAGGGTGGTATAGAAATCAAATCAAATCAAATCAAATCAAATAAATAAATAAATAAATGAAATATATTACATAAATGAAATATATAAACTACACTAACCCTGTAATAGTTTTATTTAATTTTTCCATTCTATGCAGTGGCTCAATTTAAAAAAAGCAAAACACTGTTCTTTTTAAATTGCATTTTCATTACTTTTGCTGACTCCCCAATTGAAAAGGTACTAATTCACTGGTCATATGTATATACGTATATATATGAAACCACCACACATATATTAGTTTTGAGGTCAATGAATGAAGCATTATTTATATGTTGGTCATCAAAGCACACATAATACCCTTCCTCTTTCAGAGAAAATTTATATCTCATCTAAATGTAATTTATAACCCATGTCTATGAATATACCCAGGCATAATTCCCAATAAATCTACTACATATTTCTATACTTGAATTTATAACTCTATATAAACAGATAGATTTCTCATCTGGTCATGTCTGATTTTAGGGGGCGGTGCTCATCTCTTTCTTATCCGAGGGAGTCAGTGTTGTCTGAAGACATTTCCATGGTTATATGGCCGGAATGACTGTATGCCAAGGTGAATGGTTACCTTCCCACTGAAGTAATACTTATTTATCTACTTGCATTTGCATTGTTCGAACTGCTAGGTGGGCAGGAGCTGGGACAGGAATGGGAGTTCACCCCATCGTGTGGTACTTGGGTCTTAAAACAAATTCTACTTATCTTCCTGTGAAGCAAAGTTGTTTAGCAATCAGACTGCAAAGAACCATCAAAGTCAAGCTCAAGGGCTCAAGAGAATAAGTTTAAAATAAGGAATAGAAGCTTTCTATGTGCAAGTCTTTGTCACCGGATTCCGTTTTTGTGCCCTACAATTCTATAGTATACAGTATCATCATGGAGCAAGCAGTTCCAGACATTAGAATCTAAATTAGTTAGTTGGGTACATGCTAATGATGTCTGAAGAGGTTTTGCCCTTTTATTTTCTAACACCACACAAGTGTTTTCCAAAACACAGTTTAACACAGTACTACCCAATGACCATACTTTTGCATATAAATCACTGTGGAAAATAGTTTGCTGTTAGGCAACTGTTTACTTAAATTAGGACTCTTACTTCATCTGCTTTTATATAGAGTTGTCACTAAAATAAGAACATTATGTTATAAACTTCCCTTTTTTAAAGAATTTCATAGCTTTGTCCCAAGCACACAATTTTTGGAAGATGCTAAAAGCAGTAAGTACAACTTAATAGCAATTTCAGGATGCTATCTTACCTTCCAATCTTCCCCAAACAGGTGCCCTTCAGAGCTGGGACCACTATTCCCCAAATTCTAAGCCTACGCATAACAGAAAATTCTGGAAACTGCAAAATCACACCATCTAGACCCAAAGGTGCTTTTTCAAGAGGCAACGGGACTTTCTGGGTTTTCTGTTAAGACGTTTCCCTTCTCATCCAAGAAGTGGAAGAAGCTTCTTGGATAAGAACTTAAACATCTTCAAAGGAAAACCAGAAAAAGCACCTTTGGGACAACCATGACCTGGATGACTGAGAATCTCCATAGACATTTAGCGACACACCATCTAGAGAACCAAATGGGACAATGTTAGAGGGTATGTCTCATTTAATACAATGACACATGCTTCTCAGCATACATATGTAATACAGTTCTACAAATACCATATAATCTGAAGAAAGTTAAAAATAGCTCTCAGTATAGGAAGACAAAATCAGACAAATAATATAACCCTTGCTACCTCTAGTTTTTTTTCCCTTTGCCCCTCTCCTACTTTTTTCTCTCTTCATCTTACCACAAGCTTTTCAAACCTGAATTATTGTGACAAAATTCATTGAGAGGGTCAAAAGTACACTACCGCATGCTTCTAAGTTTTAAAACATAAAATAGGTCCTTTAGTAACAATGAAAGAGACATTGACAAAAATATATTAAAACAAATTATGAAATAACAAAGAAATGTAATGCTTTTCTTGTGTCAAATTACAAATTTCAGTTTGTTAACTTGAAAAAAGTGGGAGGAAAGACTTTGGATGTAAATTTTGAGGCTGACTATCTCTGTTTCTCTAGCTTGATTACTTTGTTCTGCAGTAGGAAGCTCCTTTGTGCATCTCAGTTCTTTCTTGCTCTGTTTTAAGATAGGAAATAATACAACATTTAATAAAGTCCAATAAAACAGATTTATCATCTTTTTTTAAAAAAAAAGCTCCTTCCAAAACATTAACCTTCAAAATCCTATCCTCCTATACTAGCCAAGATGATACAGTACCTCAGAGAAATAACTTACACATTATAGTTAGAAGCACTAGGAATGGCAGTGTAGGTTAAAGCCTATAGAATAAAAGCCTGTGGAAGGAAATGATAGCTGTCTTCAATAAACTACTTGGTTGTATAAAAGACAGGGCAGAATTGACCCAGAAGACAAGAATTGATGGGATTAAATTACAAGCGAACTGATTTTGGTTGGACATTACGAAAAGATCCCTAACAGTAAAAGCTATTCAAGAGTGGAAGAGACTGCCTTGAATCTGTTAGATTCTATTCACTAGAGATGTTTAAATACAGGCTGGAAGGCTGCCTCTTGGGATATTGTAGTATAAAATTCCAGAATTGGGCAGGAGGTTGGACCAAATGATTTCTAATGTCATTTCCAACTTTATATCCTATGATGCTTTACACATCACTGTGGTAATTAGGTACTGTATTGAAAAAATATTGATAGCAGAGTATAGATATCAAAATATTGCCCACTGACCCTCCTTAAAAAAAAAAAGAAACAGCACAACTCTTTATTTTAATGCACTTTATTCCCCAATAAATTTATATAGTTTGTAGTTTTAACTTTCTCTTCAGTTTAACCTAGGCAGATTTATCTGTTTTGGTGGATAAATCAGGTTTCATAAAGGATGATAGTAATGGATTGCTATATTTCTATTTAAGCAATAGTATTTCTAATTTTAGACTAGGTAATTCCAAAAATAGGAGAGCATACTATTCAGGACAAGGGGAAGAGCCCTAAATAGATTGTATATGTTGGCTATTTCCATACCAGCTTACTACAATAATCACATTGATATCAGATTTTTAAAAATCTGTCCTCTGTTCAGGTACACTGTAACTCAATATTACTGTCCCATCAATAGTCATTTGCAAGGATCCATGTGTAGCAGTGGTGGGTTTCAACATTTTTTACTACTGGTTCTGTGGGTGTGGCTTTGTGGGCATGGCATGGCTTTGTGGGCGTGGCAGGGGAAGGATACTGTAAAATCCCCATTCCCTCTCCACTCCAGGGGAAGGTTACTGCAAAATCCCCATTTCCTCCCAATCAGCTGGGACTTGGGAGGCAGAGAATAGATGGGGGCGGAGCCAGTCAGAATTTTTACTACCGGTTATCCGAACTACTCAAAATTTCCGCTACCGGTTCTACAGAACTGGTCAGAACCTGCTGCAACCCACCTCTGATGTGTAGGAATTGGGTGTGTGAATTCAGTCTAAAACATACACTATAGCACATTCAGAACAATTTCTAAAACAATTTAGAGGGCACATGTACTTGTACTTAATCAAAAGTGAGTTCAGTGGAGTTTTTTTCAGTGTCCTGGTTCTATAAAACCTATTTTTGTGGTCAATCCCATTTTAATAAACTTTACACCTATTTTTGTGGTCAATCCCATTTTAATAAACTTTACACATAACAAAAATAAGGCAAGGTTATACATATGTTTAGCTTCCATGTAAAATACATTTACTAGAAGCCTGAGTCATAGTTGCTCAGTGACATTTATTTCTTGAGTCAGTGTTCAAAGAATAATGTTCTTAAATGTCCGCAGCAGGCAGAAAGTCTGCAAAACTCACACAGCAATGATGTCCTTTGGGACAATTTCACTTCCAAAAACATTAACCTTTCCACTTCAACTTTTCCAAACTTTGCCCTAAATTACTAGCCTTGCTTTTGGCTTTGTACTTTGCTGGGGATCTGAGTGAAGAATCAAGAAAGTCATCCCAGGCATCTCATGTATATATATATATAGAACGTATGGAGTTCGGCCAGCTCCACACATTCTTTCTAAATCCAGAAGGCTCAAATAGTTGATTAAATTCTATTACCTTGGAAAGAAAGATGCATGCCAGTAACATAGGGAAGCTACCGGTACTTGGAAGGTCTCATGCATGTTTACCAAGACTGGCTTTTGGCCATACCGATCTGGGTATTATAGGAACTGTAGTGCAACTCACATGGTAGGAATCAGCCCGAGGATGTTTGTCTCTGGAATACTTTACTAATTGGATTGCACAGGATTGCAACTCCAGTTTCTGACATAATAACCCATTTCTAACTTCGAAGAGATTCGCAATCTACTCACTAGTTGGTAATGGGTGAAATGTCCCTGGGCAATTGCAAGACCCACTCCCCCCCACCCCATCATTTTTTTTTACGACCCCCCCCCCCCGAACCCCGGCCCATTGCTGACCTCCAAGTGTGGGCCAAGAAAAAGACTTCTTGTAACGGGCCGCCCGTCGGTGGACGGTGGAAGGAACGGCCGCGTCCTCTTACCTCTCTCTTTCTCAGTCTGCTCTTGGCGCAGCCTTTTCTCACTCCACGGCGGCAGGAATGCTGAGCCAGCAGAGTAAAGGACGACGTCGCTACCCCTCAGCGCGGGCAAACTTCTGCTCGGCCGGACGAAGTGGCGGCCGGTCCGCGACGGATGCTCGACCGGCTAGGTTGGCCGGACGGACAGCCGGACGGATGGATGGATGGATGGAAGCAGCTCGGGCCGCGCCGATCACAGGACGGCGTTCGCAAGCGCCTGAACTCCGCCAGAGGGAGGAGACCGCAACGTCACCGGAGAAGGGGAAAGAAGAGGGCGAAGGAGCCCCTTATAGTCCCACCTCTCTCCCGATGGCCCCCCTGGCGGATTTCGGTTTAGGCTGGCCGGAGTCTCAGACGCCTGCGAAGTTCTTTTCCCGCCAAAGTGGCAGAAGGCGAGGGCCAGCTTCCGCCCGCAATGCTTCTTCCAGAGAAAAAAAGACTTTTGACGTTCACAATAATTCCGCTTTCTTGTAACAAGGCTGGCTGCTTCCTCCCAGGCTCCCGGAGCAGTGGCGGGGCTAACAAGAAGCGACGCATCTGTGGAAAGCAACCCTTTCTCCCGGGCGGCCCTACTCTGTCCGGCCTCAGCCTCCTGAGTCTCCTCCTTCTCCCCTCCTTTCCCGGGTCTCGTTTTCCTTAGCTCTCGGTCCCTTTGGATCTTGGTTGTTGGGCGGTGAAGTTCTCGCATGAAACAGCACTTAAGTTTTTTTCCCCTTTGCTCGCCCTTATGGGTACCAAAGTGGGGGTGGGGGGTGGGGAGAGACGAAGTTGCCTAAACCATTAAAAGAATCCTCCGCTAGTTTCTTCCCTGTGTCTTGTGGAAATTTTATAAGAAGATGTTGGATAAGCATTTGTCTGGTGTAGGGTTTCCTGCCTGAACAAGGGGTTGGACTAGAAGACCTCCAAGGTCCCTTCCAACTCTATTATTCTATTCTTCAGGGCACAGCTGCTCATCCTTTCACTCCTCGGAACCCTTCCGATGGCAAACGAGGTGACAGCCAACTAGCCCCTTCAGTGGTCTACCAAGAGTGAAAATAGATGTTGGCTGGGTCTTTAAGGAACAAGCTTTTTTTTTTCCGGCTCGTTTACTTCCCCTGCTTAACTATATACCATTTTCCTCCACTCCAGGAGGAAACCAGGTGAGCAATTGCAGGCCTTTGAAATAAAGGAGAAAGAAACATCCTTTCCAGGGAAGGAGCTGCTCCTGCAAAATGGGGTCATGCTTCCCCACCCCCTCCAGTACACTGAGCGCTTTTCTGTCCTCTCCATATTACAAGAGTGGGTTAAGTCAGTAATACAGGTAGTCCTTGACTTACAACAATTCATTTAGTGGCCAATCACTGAAAAAAAAATGACTTATGGCCATTTCCACAATGCATCACCATGGTCACCTGGTCAATATTCAGACACTTGGCAACCGGCTCATATTTATGACAGTTGCAGTGTCCCAGGATGGGGTGATCCCCTTTTGCGACCTTCTGACAAGCAAAGTCAATGGGAAAGCCAGATTCACTTAATAACCATGTTACTTACTTAACAACTGCAGTGATTCACTTAACAACTGACAAGAAAGGTTGTAAAATGGGGCAAAACACATTTAGCAACTGTCTCATTTAGCAACAGAAATTTGGGGCTCAATTGTTGTAAGTCAAGGGCTACCTGTACTACACTGAGAGGGAATTTTGCTTGTTGGTGCTCAGTCTTTGGCTGACAGAGCGGATGGTCACTTCATTTTCCCATTTGCACTCCTGAATTCTCCAGACTGTAGCAGAGATTCCATCCACTGAGCCAAATCCTTTAGAAAATAAATCTGGTTATATTGAGGCATTATAAGCTCTGTAACCCATCAAAATGGTGATGTTCTTTTTATTTAAAGTGTACAGCCTGAAAGGCTCCCAGATAATAATGCAGAAAAAAGTTTAGTTTATTGTCTTAATATAATATGACATACATTTACAAGGGCTTGGAAAGAAAATAAGGAAACAATAGGGAAACAAGTCATTCAACATTTACTTATGGGCTAAGAGCAAACACGGTAAAAGACCAACACAGCAAAGCAAGAAAAGTCACATTTTCTTAGTATTTGGTGATTCCTTTTAACATTGGCCAGTTACGGGCTTTTCAAGGAAGCTGAAATGATATGTCCCTGTCTAGATACCATTTCCCAGCAGATGATTCCACATTTCTGAAGAAATGACTGATTTGAGCTCAAATTGTAGCAACGGCAAATAAAAACATCAGATTTACATAGTCTGTGGTAAGGTCCTATCTCCATGCCTTGGTCCCTGATGACGTCTGTCAGAAGGAGGAGGAGGTTTACCTCAGCTGTTTGCAACTCTCTGCTTCTTTTCTTAAAAATATACTGCTCAAAAAAATAAAGGGAACACAATCAGAAGACCTCCGAGATCTGAATGAATGGAATAGCCTTATTAAATACTTTGTTCTTTACATACAGTAGTTTATGCACTGCTCAAACAACTAAAGGGAACACAAAACTACTGTATGTAACGAACAAAATATTTAATAAGGCTATTTCATTCATTCAGATCTCGGAGGTCTTCTGCTTGTGTTCCCTTTATTTTTTTGAGCAGTGTATATTCCTAATACTTTATCTTATATTTTTAACTAATCAGATTGTTAATGTATGAGAGCCGTGTGGTATAGGGGTTAAGGCACCAGGCAAGAAAGCATGAAAAGGAGTTCAAGTTCTGCCTTAGCCATCTCCCAAGGTGGTTGTTGTGGGGGAAATAGGAGGAGAAAGAAGTATTAGGTATGTTTACTGCCTTGGGTTTATCTTGGGTTTGATAATAATGATGATGATGATGATGATTATGATAATAATAATAATAATAATAATAATAATAATAATAATAATAATCTCTACAAAAAACCACCCTACTCGGAACAGCTTACATCCTCCGACGATATCTTAACAGTTCCTAGGTCCTTGGTTAGGACTCGAGCTGCTGAGCTATTAACCAGCCTCAAAGGCTGTGAATCTCACCAAAGATTAACAACAACAACAACAGCAGCAGCAACAACAACAATAATAGTGGGATACAAATAAATATCACTCCAAGTAAGTCTCTGCAATAGTTCAGCAGAGATAGTTTCATCATCCTCATTTAGAAGTGATCAAAATAGTACATCTGATATAAAGTGGTAACGCTTCAACTCCTGCTTAACTGTTCAAGAACATCAGCAGATCCAATTAGCACAAAGAACTGCAACATGATCAATCTGTTGAACTTTACTTGCCATTTATAACTCTTTTTTATCCCTTTTCTTATCATGTCACATCATTTTTATTATCCATTTTATCACCCAATTAAGGCTTCACTTTAATTTATAATGGTTAGAGGGTTAAGTGTTGTTTTAACCTTGTATGTCTTCCAGAATCACCTTCATGAGATATAAATCAAATAAATAAATAAACCTATGTTTCTCCATTCTCCTCAAGCCATGATATGCTGCCTCATCAGGGTGGGTGAGGAGTTGGCTGTGGGAAGGATAGGTAAACACTAGGAATTTATGCCAAGAGTATGGGTATCCTCCTGTTGAAAGATTGTAAGGCCAGGTTTGGGGACGGATGGTCTGGAGCAGGAGTGTCAAACTCACGGCACTCAGGCCAGTTGTGTCATGTGCTGGCCCCGCCCCCACCCGGTTTAGCAAAGGAGAAAAAAGTCCCGATACGTCATGTGATGCTGCTGTGACAATGCGAGTTTGACACCCCTGGTCTGGAGAAATATCTATATGATCACTAAGAGTTCACACTAATTTGATTGCATATCATCATCATGATTTTCATTTTTTTCCCAGCATTACTTGTTATTTTTTTATTACAGAGAAAATTAATTGAGGAGAAAAAGAATAACTGCGTAACAGCTTTGACTGACATAGCTAGAATTCATCTGAGAAAATCTTCTGTCAAGAAGAAATATTGCTGAATGTCATGAATATTTCATATGTTTGTATATTGGTGGGTGGAATCACCATCACCATCATTATATTCCTGAAATTTTAGGAAATGTTAAAAAGTATGAAAATTCTGTAATTCTCATGTACTATATGAGTTCTTAAAGGATATTAACTATAACTTGATTTTATAAACAATGTTTTTTTGATTATTTAGATAATCAAATAAATGTTATAAGCATATGAAAAGTATGTTTAAAATGAAGATGAGCAAAGGTATTTATACTGGAATGAATCACATGCTTCTACTTTTTGAGAATATAGAATATTTTGCATTTGAATATGTATTATTTCTTTTTTCTATTTGCTATTTTAAAGTTGGTAACTCATGTGATTGCTTTTCAGTATTTTCACTGCGCACTACTTGTTTTGCTCTGTTTGCCAAATCTTGTAGTAATTAAGCATATATACCAACATTCTTTTAATAAGTAACATAGGATTTATAATGCAAAACAAAAGATGGGGCAGGAAACAGCCTTTTGCCAGGTTGCAAGAACCAATCTCCACTGCCACCTGGCAAGCTGCTGCTATTTCCTGCATCATCTTTTTGTTTTGCATTACTGTAGAAACCCAATGTTAATTATTTATAAAAAACCTTGGAATGCTTTTAAGGGGAGCTATTGAAGCCATATTTTCCACAGCATGCCTATCTGTATGTTCTCCATTCTAAGACTAGCTTTTATCCATAATGATCTTTGCCTGCACAAGGTATTCTAATGCCAATGTAGTGGATCCCTGGAGTGCAGGGATCAGTATTGTAATGTGATCGGACAGACAACTCTCTGCATGATTTTGGAATAATCATGCTATTTTTGATGGAGGAAGGGGGAGGGTTTGAGTACAGTAAAATAAATGAATAATACACTATGGAATTACATTTAGAGTGTATTTCTGATTGGCTGCTTTATATTTTATATATGCATGCATTGTTTATATTAATGGTCTATATCCTGCCTCATTCGGAGAAGTTTTAAAGTACAGTAATTCACAAAAGGGAAAAATATAATAAAATATGTATAAAAATGATTGCAGGCAATAAAGCATCAGGAAGGAAGGAAGGAGAAGGAACGAAGGAAACATTTAATATTTCAACACAGACTTTAAAAACCCAAGAACTGTGCTATAAAATGCATAAGTACATACGTACATACCCCTTGTACAGATTAAAGAAATATTTGTAGCTCAGGACTGAACTGTGGAGTCCTTGGTGTTCTCTGAGCCTGGTGGTTTTCTTGCAGATGTTTCATTACCAAACTAGATAACATAATCAACGCTAGAAGGAATGGGGTTTGCTCTTATTTTTGTATATGTCATGATTGGTGGGACTGTTCTTAATGGTTCCTTAAACAAAACATCTCCTCACCAGCATCACAGTCATATGAGCAGAGATTAACATCAAAATAAACACTAGGCCAGGGGTGTCAAATACAAGCCCATCCAGGGCTTAAGACGTGTAATAGAAAGTGTATTTGAAATAACTCAATCTGCAGCTTGCATGGTAAGTATAGCTCTAAGGTATAGCTCTCAGGAAAGATTACTCTTCCTAAGGTTCTAAGACTAATTTTACAGCTCCCACACTGATTCTCATAGCTTTAGGAACATTTATTCACTGGCTATATTAAG